AGGATGAGGTTGCTGCATCTGCCATCCTGACCGCCCAGCTGGATGAGGAGCTGGGAGGTACCCCTGTCCAGGTGAGCCTGACCTACTGAGTCACCGGACCTTGTATGCTTGTTCACCAGTTATCTGTCTGTCTGACTGCCCATCTATCCATCCATCCACTCACCTACCCATTCAGCCTTCCATCCATCTTCCCACCCACTCACCACCCACTACCATCCAGGCATGCGGCAGATGTTCACTCAGGGCTTCCATGCACTTGACAGTGACGGTAGCAGTGAGTCCACAGCATTGCCTGCCTGATGGGGTATATAAGCCTGTGGAGTGTATAAACCTGATGGAGTGTATAAGCCAGTCGTACAGCAAATGCACACACAAAGGGATCTACTCACACACTGTTGTATGTAGTGAGTAAACATGATAAGGTACTATGAGCCAGTAATAGTAGCGTGTAGCACATATGTGCCAGGTGGGATCTCATTGGATCAGAGAATGTTCCCCTGAGAAGGAACTCTTCGGCTAGGACGTAAAGGCTGAATAGGAGTTGGCCAGGCAAAGAAGGAAGCAGAGTGCATTCCAGGCAGAGGAAGCAGCCTGTGCAGAGGCCCTGGGGTAGCAGAGCATGGTATTTAGGAAAGTGCCAGGAGGGCCCCAGAGATGCCAAGCAGGGGCAGCAGAATGCCCAGAGGGTCATGGAGGGAGTGGGGGTAGATGTAGACCTTAAACCTGGGAACAGTGGGAAGCTGTAGACTGGTAAATTTGGCCAGGATGGATTTGTGGGTTTAAAGGTTACTCTGGCCAGAGGGGCAACAGCGTCAAGTCAGGGAAGCCCGAGGGAAGCCGATAAGAACGGACATGGCTCAAGCTTTGGATTCCAGGTTGACAGCTTGACTTTTGTCCCCGACAGTGGTGTCTTATCTCATTTGATCCCCCCACTAGCCGTGTGGGGGAGTCACTTTCTTGGGCCCATTTTCGAGAGAAGGAACCTGTGCTGTGGAGTCACGGCTCAAGAGTCTCACGGTCAGGATAGCCTGACCCTGGAGCTCTCAGCCAGCAGCGGCAGGCCAAGGTGGGAACTCACCGAAGCCAAACGCACACGCACACGCATGCGCTTAGATTCCAGAGTGAACTAACTAGCCAAGGCCGCAGAACTGAAACGAGGTGGGCGCACAGGGCAGAAGGAGGGGTGGCATATCTTGATATAGGTGTCTTCGCCCCCTTCCTTTGCACCCCCAGCTCCTGACTGCAGCCTGTGTCTGGGGAGCCTCTGGCTGGGCAGGAGGCGGTCTCTCCAGATCTGAAAAGCTCTAGTCTCACAACTCCATGGGCTTTCAGACCCAGGGGTGACCTCACCATCCCAGAAGACCATCGACAAACAATCCCTGTGCTTCCATTTAAGGACATATTTGAGAACATGGCCCCTCCTGGGTCTTGGATCAGACAAAGGGTCATCAAAGCAGGCCCCCAGGGGAGAGGGAGACCACTTAAACAGCACCCTGGGGGACTCAGGCAAGACTGCTGTCCCCTACCTCCTAGGAACTCCTGTGTCCCCTGCCTAGTGTTTGTGGACTGACTGGTCATACTGCACACCAGAGACACCAGTGGGATGGGGACGGACTGGGTGTGGGCCATGCTGGCTGGGTGTGAGCTCAGTCCCTCACAGAAGAACTAACGCCTTCTCCTCCTTCCCTGACCCCATCTCCCGTCTCCCTGCAGAGCCGTGTCGTCCAAGGCAAGGAACCTG